TGCATCACATTTACCGAGCTGACCTAGGTGTAAAACAGTCTTCCCATGGCGTCCAACAATCAAATTAGGGAGAAGCTGAGCCGGGTGCTGCAGTGAATGTGTCAAGGAAAACGAGGGTCATTCGCGGTTCTGGACTGGCATGCTCCAAGGTCGTATCTCAGCATGCTCCACGATGAGCAGAGGACGGGTGGCTGGCCACCTGGCCGATGGTCCACTTACAACAGGGTTTACTCCACTTTTGCGGCTTATAAGCGGGTCACAACCTAGGTTACCGAGCACCTGGCCGAAGACCAATCTAATTTTGGTGTATGGCCATCGCGCACTGAAGAAAAAACCATTTGTTGCTGTTGGATCAGGGGAGATGGATGAACAATTGGAAAGGGAAGGACGCCATCCGTGTTTGAGGGTCTTCCTTTGAGGAAACACCCATACGGTCCATATAGTTTTGACCCACAGCCATATCTTGTTTTTTGGCGCTTTGCTTGACATTGTTTTGTGCGCGTGTCATCCCCAATATAACCTAAGCTTTTTTGTTTTGACTACACGATTGCGTTGGAGTACACCATGGGCCAAAGACATTTCTCAAAGGCAAGCTTGTGGCTTTGGTTTTCTATTTGGTTGTGGGTCAAAAGCAATGCTACCATTTTGGGGTAGGTGCACCACCCATTTTCGTCTATTGTAGTTGGGATTGGGATGTTCACTGGGGGTACGGGCTTTTGATCCATGGCAGTTTGAGTTTTTTTTCCTTTTTGGGCCATGATCTTTGGTTTTTTTCCATTCCTCGATTGAGATCGATCGCCTTTTGTGGTTTATGGGATCGCCTTTTGCTTCTGATCCTTCAGTCGACTGATGTTTGACTGCCCGGCAAGGGATGAGATGGCCGGATCTCAATGCTGTGCTGCTCGCGAACTTGAAGACTTTTACGACCCCAAGACACTTTGTGTTTGGGGAAACCAAAGACAAGCAGCCAATTTTGGCGTTGAGAGAACCCCATTGCCTGTGAGCTCCTTCTCAGGTGAATCCTCGGGTCTCACTTTCCACGCGGTCCATGAGAATTTTCCACGCGCCAGAAACGCGGCATACGCTGGCGCCCTGAAGGCATTGCTCCGGCCGGAGCTTGTGTGCGCCTGGCGAGGTTATTCAGATAGGTGTTTTTTTGGGCATGGAGACGCGACCAAAGGAGTAGATACCCAGAAGCCAAGGTCTAAAAACTGCCGCCCGGGTTTGGTGGCAGCCGTTTCTTACCCCATCCACCAGACTCTCCCGGTTTGGTTTCGCAAGTTGACCGGGTCCAGAAATTCTATCCGGCCGGCGATGAATTTGACACACGGCACATTTGGAAGTGCAAGGCCAAATGTTGGGGGAAAACAGGGTTTGCAAAGCTAGAACCACGAGGGCCTCCACAGCAAGCAGAAGAACACACACACACACACTTAGTGGGTTCATCCTCCAAATGGGACATTTTCTTGCTGGTGCTCAGCAGGCAATGAGGGACTGAATTCCCTGAAAGGAAGCCACAGGAGATGGTTTATAGGGGTCATTCCATGTCTCCTTCCCTTCTGAGCACCAGCAAGGAGAGTTTGTTGCACATGCTTTGAGTCTCAAATTACCTTTCCCTACTTGCCACGCGGAAAAGCTGCCTCGAGGTGGCGATTGTATCAGCTTCCATGTTGAGAGACGGGCACGGAGTTCCCAGAAACCGGGGGGCGTGGACGAGTCCGCGCGCGGCGCGGAGCCTCGGCGCCTTGGCCAGGCTGGACCTGGGGGCTGGCACGGGGCTTCTGGCGGCGCTCGCCTTGCAGGCGATTTGTGAGCCTCGTCGTTTTGGGTCGGTCGTCGTTGCAACAGCTGACTGCTATGGATTCGTTTTTTGCCAAATGAGCCACAATCAAAGCCCGGGTAGATGAAGGTTAGTAAGGGAGGATCCCAGGCATAAATAGCTGCGGATATCCGCCTTCTTAGTTCTTTGCATGGTTCTGGGTGCACCATTCTTGTACCGGGTTTTGATTATGATTCAAACGGGTCAGCTGACGTTCTGGGTGCACCATTCTTGTACCGGGTGTTGATTATGATTCAAATGGGTAAGCTGACGTTCCGGGTGCACCATTCTTGTACCGGGTTCTCAAAAGGGTCAGCTGACTGCTACGGATTCGTTTTTTGCCCAAATGAGCCACAATCAAAGCCCGGGTAGATGAAGGTTAGTAAGGGAGGATCCCAGGCAATAAATAGCTGCGGATATCCGCCTTCTTAGTTCTTTACATGGTTCTGGGTGCACCATTCTTGTACCGGGTTTTGATTATGACTCAAATGGGTCAGCTGACGTTCTGGGTGCACCATTCTTGTGCTATGGATTCGTTTTTTGGCCAAATGAGCCACAATCAAAGCCCGGGTAGATGAAGGTTAGTAAGGGAGGATCCCAGGCATAAATAGCTGCGGATATCCGCCTTCTTAGTTCTTTACATGGTTCTGGGTGCACCATTCTTGTACCGGGTTTTGATTATGACTCAAATGGGTCAGCTGACGTTCTGGGTGCACCATTCTTGTGCTATGGATTCGTTTTTTGGCCAAATGAGCCACAATCAAAGCCCGGGTAGATGAAGGTTAGTAAGGGAGGATCCCAGGCATAAATAGCTGCGGATACCCGCCTTCTTAGTTCTTCACATGGTTCTGGGTGCACCATTCATGTACCGGGTTTTGATTGTGACTCAAATGGGTCAGCTGACTGCTATGGATTCGTTTTTGGCCCAAATGAGCCACAATCAAAGCCCGGGTAGATGAAGGTTAGTAAGGGAGGATCCCAGGCATAAATAGCTGCGGATATCCGCCTTCTTAGTTCTTTACATGGTTCTGGGTGCACCATTCTTGTACCGGGTTTTGATTATGACTCAAATGGGTCAGCTGACTGCTATGGATTCGTTTTTTGCCCAAATGAGCCACAATCAAAGCCCGGGTAGATGAAGGTTAGTAAGGGAGGATCCCAGGCATAAATCGCTGCGGATATCCGCCTTCTTAGTTCTTTACATGGTTCTGGGTGCACCATTCTTGTACCGGGTTTTGATTATGACTCAAATGGGTCAGCTGACTGCTATGGAGACTGCTATGGATTCGTTTTTTGCCCAAATGAGCCACAATCAAAGCCCGGGTAGATGAAGGTTAGTAAAGGCATAAATAGCTGCGGATATCCGCCTTCTTAGTTCTTTACATGGTTCTGGGTGCCATTCTTGTACCGGGTTTTCCCGGGGGTTTAGAGCAAGCCCCCAACCAGTCAGCAAGTTGACTTGCCGCTCTTTTCTCACTCCATGGCATGCTCGGGCGCCCCGAGCTAAAGTACAAAGACCAAATGGCTAAAGGGATCCCTCGGACCAAAACGGCGAACAGCGTGTGCGAGGTTGTGGCTCTGTAGGCAAAACACAAGAGGCTCACACACACGAGGCTGAGAACTTCACACCCAGAACCATGTAAAGAACCAAGAAGGCGGATATCCGCAGCTATATATTGCCTGGGATCCTCCCCTACTAACCTTCATCTACCCGGGCTTTGATTGTGGCTCATTTGGGCAAAAAATGAATCCATAGCAGTCAGCTGACCCATTTGAGTCATAATCAAAACCCAGTACAAGAATGGTGCACCCAGAAACATGCAAAGAACTAAGAAGGCGGATATCCGCAGCTATTTATTGCCTGGGATCCCTTCTTACTAACCTTCATCTACCCGGGCTTTGATTGTGGCTCATTTCGGCAAAAAACGAATCCATAGCAGTCAGCTGACCCATTAGCGGAGCTCGGCGAACCGGGCAAGAAGATCAGGGAAACACCACACCACCCAGAACATGGCCGCCATGCAGGCAAAAGCGTTCTACGTGACGTGGGACGGAGATCCGGCCACTTGGGCCGATTACACACACAAGGTGCGACTGCAATGGGAAAAGACTCCCTCCTGGAAGCGACGCCATCTCGGACCCGAACTGGCATCCCGCCTGACTGGGAGAGCATGGGCCGTGACCTACAAGCTTTCGCACGAGAAGCTGAGCAAGAAGAACGGCGCGGAATAATTGCTTTGCTATCTGCAAGATCGACTATGTCGAACACCGGTGCCTGATGCCGGAGCAAGGTTGGAGGACCTCCTCGTCAGGCTGAGAAGGCCGCTGGGAATGACCATGAGCCAAGCACCCACGCGCACCCACGCGCACCCACGCGCACCCACGCGCACGCGCACCCACGCGCACCCGCGCGCACCCACGCGCACCCACGCGCACCCACGCGCACCCACGCGCACCCACGCGCACCCACGCACCCCCGCACACCCCCGCGCACCCCCACGCACCCCCGCGCACCCCCCGCGTCCCCCCCGCGCCCCCCGCGCACCCCTGCGCGCCCGCCGCGCACCCCCCGGCGCCCCCATCCCCACGCGACCCCCGCGCACTCCCCCCCGCGCACCCCGGCACCCCCCGCACCTCCACGCACCCCCCACGCACCCCCTCGCGCCCCACGCACCCCCCGCGCACCCCCCCGCACCCCCGCGCACCCCCGCGCACCCCCTGCGCACCCCCCCCGCACCCCCCCGCAAACCCCCCCCCTGGCGCACCCCCGCGCACCCCCCCCGCGCACCCCCCGCGCACCCCCTGCGCACCCCCCGTGCACCCCCCGCGCACCCCCCGCAAGATGGAGCCGAAGAAGGACCTCACGAAGGCGATCTTGGACAAGAGCACCTCATCCAAGTCAGAACCACATGGAGAACCTCAAGGAGGCGCTGGATCTCAAGGAGTTCGGACGCCCTCGGTGATCTCAGCCTCGGGAACCGCCACGCGGACGCGAACGCCAGTTCAAGAAGGAGAGCCGGTGGAGGAAGAGGAAGCCGCGCGCGATCTTCATGAAGCGGAACATGGTGAAGAATGGAAGGATGAAGAATGGGAAGATTGGAGAAAGTTCAAGAAGTGGAAGCAGTCTGGGCGCGCGAAGAGTCATCAAGAAGATAGCGGAGATGATTGATCTTCGGGAGAGGATCTGCCGTGGGATGAGCTTGAGGTGGAGGATGTGCAGGTGCTCCCGGACGAGGTTCTCGGGTGGCTCCTGCTGAGAAGAGCCAACTTGAGCTCTTCATCCCGTTTAAGTGTGCAGGCGTCAGTGCAGAACTTGCTCTCCTTCCGGGCCCTTCGAGATCAAGAAGAAGAGCTACTTCATGTGGATGCTCATCGGCCACCTCAACAACAACGGAGACGGACCTACTGGGTCGAGGAGGAAGGCGCGTGGGGCTAGAGGAGTTGAGTGGAGAAGTGCACTGGGTTGGAGATCGGCTACCTGCTGAAGTATATCCTCAAGCAGCGGAGGAGCACCTCAACGACGAGGTCTACTGGTCCGCGCGGCTACCTGCGGGATGGCTATGCGTACTGGGTGGAGACGGACGGCTATGGCGTTGCTGAATGAGCGAAGGAGCTGGACGACGCCCACGCGGTCTTTGAGGACAAGGCCCGGACCTTCGCGCAGAGCAAGACCTTTCAGAAAGCAAAAGGTGGTGCGCGTGGGTTCTACCCCTTCGGCAAAGGCAAGGGGAAGAAGGGCAAGCTAAAGGGCAACTTCGGGAAGGGCAAAGGCTAGGCTGGAAAGGTTCATCCAGCTCAACGAGCACCTCAACTACCATGGGCAAGCCCTCGAATGTGCTGGTGACGGAGAGTGCCCTGGCGGAGACCGAAATCACGGTTTTCGCCAGCGCCCAAATCGGGCAAGTGGATCTTCGTGGGAGGCACGGACATGATGATGGATGATCATGAGCGACCTGGAGGAGTTGTTCGGGAGACTGCCATCGGTGCCACCGAGACGGTCGGGGCGATCGAGAAGCTGTGCCAGCTGCGAGGACCGCATCACGCCAAGGAGATCAAGGTCCACATGGCCAGAAGTCGTTCCGGCTTGGTTCAGCGGTCATCCTGGTGCCCCAGCACAGTGGTTGCAACTGGGGATTTTCACGTTGGACGTGGGCCAGATCCCCATCCTCATCGGAGTGAAGACGCTGACCAAGCTGGGCGCAATCTTGGATGTAGCAGGCCAGTAGTGGATGGTTTTGAGTCGTGTTTGCCATGGACTTTGAGGCGAAGCGCGGCAGGTCATTTGCTTGACCCGAACCTGTTTTGCACCTCACGGATAACCGAGACAGCATGCATGGTGCAAGGGGAGGGTGGAGCTGTGACAGACCTTTATGCCTCTGAAATCATGGTTGAAGACGAAGGGCAAGTTCAGGTCTTGGAAGGTGACAGAAATCAGGTGTTGTGGGCTGGAACGCAAAGCAGCTCGGATCAAGAGATGCGGGACCGCATCCTACAAGCCCTAGCTTTGCCTAGCTCACCTGAGAGCGAATCCCATGGCCACGGAGAAGAACTATGGCAAGAGCAAGGGCAAGGGGAAGAAGAAGGTGACGAACGTGGTGCGCCGGAGGAGAAGTACGATTTGGCCAGGATGCAGGGTCCCGATCCTCGGGACGAGAGATGCGTGGGGGCACCATGCTTCGGAGCTCACATCCCGGCCCGACCGGGACCGGGCAGCATCAGCGGGTCCAACAAGTTCGCGACCTGGACCGGGTGCTGCCAGTGCGGAATCGTACACAGCCTTTGGAGCACATGGGTTGACGAGAAAGGCCGGACCATTGTCAAAAGACGTCGAGACAGCCGTAGCCAAGGAGGATCCGGAGAAGCTCAAGGGCACGGTCAATCTGAAGGATGCGCACATTGGACTGGACGGAGCCGAGCAGCGCCTGCTGCTGAACCAGCTGGCGAAGATCAAGGAGAAGAAGGCCAACCTGGTCAAGCAGGCGGAGAACTCGGAGAACAACCTGGAGAAGGGGAAGAAAGAGAGGATGGCTCGGGGGCAATCCAGCTCGGAGCCAAGCCCAAATGTGCTCCCAGAGACGCAGGAGTACATCGTGTTCTGCAGCGACCCGGAGGACGCAGAGCACGAGGCAAAGATTGTGCGCGAGAAGAAGATTCCGGTGAAGAAGGAGCCGGACCAGATGGGCCGCAAAGCCCGGAAGGCAGAGGAGACGGCGGAGGATTTGGAATATCAGGAGCGCTCGGGGTGATGGAAGATGAGGAAGAGACCGGGTTTTGATTATGACTCAAATGGGTCAGCTGACTGCTATGGAGACTGCTATGGATTCGTTTTTTGCCCAAATGAGCCACAATCAAAGCCCGGGTAGATGAAGGTTAGTAAGGGAGGATCCCAGGCATAAATAGCTGATATCCGCCTTCTTCGTTCTTTACATGGTTCTGGGTGCA